CTTCCAGAATATGGGTATTACAGGTGTGTGGCACCACATTTGGCCTTGACTGGAATTGTAAAACAGTCAGGACGTTGTGGGCTTTTAAATGCCTCTGCACTGCCAAAAATTACCAAGGATTCCAAAGAGCTTTTTTTTTTTTTTTTTTTTTTTTCCCAATCAGGATTCACTATATTGAAATTAAATCAAAATTTAAAGAAAATGTATGGTGGAAGAATGGACTTATTGTATATGTGTACAAATGTCTTTAATTACCACTTTGATATAGTTGCAGAAATGCTACTATTTTTTGTGTTTTTAAATCTGTTTATTTTGATCTATGGAGAATAGTTGTCTTGCCAGGCATAGTGGCACACATCTGTAATCGCAACACTTGGGAAGCTAAGGCAGGAGGATCATCTTTAGTATGAGGCCAGCTGAACTACATAGTGAGTTCAAGGCCAGCCTGAACTACGTAATAGCCTGTCTCAAAAAAAGTTGTCTTCCTGTATTGGCTTCTGCATGTCCATGTATTGCAAAAAGACCCCTAGTTTAAAATCCACAAGAAGGTCTGCTTTACTCGGATAAATAATGAAAAGACTAGGGTATTAGTAGCCTTCTCAAATAACTGCAGAGATAGTTCAATACCATGGTAGTCTCTTAAGGTACTCTTTTGAATTAAAGTGCATCAGTCTGTCTTAAATTTTGAATGGATTTACTAATGTTTAATTTGGTGATGTATACTAATTGGAAAATTAGTGAATCATTGATTCAGATATATCCTGCATTGTTAAAGTATCTTGTACAAAATTGAAATCTCATTTCTTCTTTTTTTTTTGTCTTTTTGAGACAGGATCTCCACTATACTGTTCATGCTGGCCTTGAACTGGCAATGATCCTCCTGCCTCAGCCTTTTGAGTGCTGGGATTACAGGTGTGCACCACCACACCTGGCACCTTTTGTTTCTTTGAGATAGTCTCGCTAAGTTGCTTTTGTGAGACTCAAACTTGTGATCCTCCTTCCTCAGCCTCCTGAGAGCTGGCCTATAGGCATGTGCCACCTCACCTTTCTTGAAGTCATATTTGTTAATAATTTTGTTAGAAAACGTCAGCTAAGTAATGTCATCAGTAAGTAGATGGTGGTGTCTCAAATAGAAATCTTATGCCATAAATAAAGAGGCTTAATCAATATGCAACCAAATTCAATGATTTTGTGTGTGTGTGTTTGTGTATATGTGGGGGGGAGAGAAAGAGAGAGATCATGGGAATCAGACTCAGGACGTTGTGGTTCATAGGCAGGTGCTGTGCCACTGAGCTAATCTGACCCTGTTCCACCGCCATATAACCATCATCCCTTATAGTGAGTCAGAAGTGCTTTATCTGTGCACCCTGTTTGTCATGGACAATATTAAAAGAATATTTACTAAAGCATACAGAATACTAAAGAATTGGTTTTTACTGTTTTAACCGTGTATTCCCAATTGAAAATACTAAATTTCAGTTTCACATATGTAAAATTTCACTGGCTACTATTTCAATCAAAGAGTGAATGTGTTTCCTTGATTTGTGGTAAATAATTCTTGCAGAATAAAGATACTTTGTGATGGTAGAAATTTTATGAACTCTAAGCAGGATTTTATAGGCCAGTCCAACCACTTATTTATATGATTTTAAGTTAGTTATTTAATATCTGTTCCTCAGTTTTATCATCTCTTAAATGGCGTAATAGTAAATGTACCTCATAGGGTTGAATCAGTCATTTAAAACTGAGTTTCAAATCACAGCTCTTTTTTTGCACTGCAGTATTTGAGATGTTGGTTGCAAGTAACTTGTTTCAGCTTAAACTGCACCCATTAATTTGTGGTAAAGTAGTAAAGCATCATTAAAATTCGTTTAAAAATCAGTTCTCATTTAAAATATATTAAAAGTTATTCCTAGAAGTGATGGCTTTTTATATTGCTTTTGTGTGGGCATACAGTTGAGCAGTTGTTTAAGTGATTCTTACTACTGATGTGTAAAAAGAAATCTTGTCTTTCAGTTTATAAAATCACCTTAATAATCTGCTTCCTTTGCATTTACTTCAAAGTATGTAGTACTGAATTTTTACAAAATAACAGCAATATGAAGAAATGACTTGGAAGCTAAAAGGTCTTTTTCCTAAAATTATATAAAATGATTTAAAAGAGTAGTGTATAAAATAACAGTAATTTTCTAAAATATACTGTCGACATTAAGAAATGCAGGTATACATATGTTTAGTGAAAAATGCTACAACACAAAGTACATATTGGGTATTTTTATATAGTGATATGCTGTGTTATGGAGTATTGAAACATTTTGATGTCCCATCTAAGGAAAAATACTTTAGAGCTTGAGCTAGTTTATAATACTGCATTAGAAGGGGATGTTGCTGTGACTCTTTGTTTAACAGACCCTCAGTATGTTAATGTTTACCATGAAAATCTCTCAATGGCAAAAGTAAGTTTAAAAATAATAAAAAGAGGGGCTGGGGATTTAGCTCAGCGGCAAAAGCGCCTGCCTGGCAAGCGCAAGGTCGTGAGTTTGTCTCCCGGTACCGGAGAAAAAAAATAAAGAAAGCACTTTGTGGATTATAAAGCTAAACATTGTTATTTCATCGTGATATTTAGCACTGAAATATAGAGAACAAACAAAGGTGGTTTCTAATCCATCTGCCCCCATGAATCTCATAGGTCTTTATAGTTTGTTAGGATATTTAAAGGGTATTTGAGAGTTGGAGTCTCAAGCAGTGAGATTATATGCTATTAATGATTAAATATTGCATCCCTAACTTTTCAAAATGAGTTCAAATCAAAAATGAAAAATGTAAATTAAACCCTGCCTCCCCAAAAGTCATCATGAGGCTCATGTATTTTACTCTTTGTTATTAAGTAGAATATAAATTTTTGGGGTCTAGATGTGCTATTAATAGATCCTAAGTAATGAGGAGGAAATGGCGGCTTGGTTTGGCTGAGTTAGTAGTAATGATTATTTAAAACATAATATGAATGTATAATGCTTGGTCAGTAGTCCTGTTTTATAATCTAGCTTGTATTGCAGGTAAGTATTAGCATCTACGCCTGTGCTGTGGTGCACACATGTAATCCTAGCTACTCAGAAGGCTGAGCCAGGAGAATAACACATTTGAGGTCATCCTGGGTAACTTAGTGAGAGCCTGTCTGAAAATAAAAAAGGAAGAAAGGACAGGAGATACAACTCAGTATGAAGGCCCTGGGAGCAATCCCCAGTACCTCAGATAGAGACGTGAATAGATGGTTGAATGGATGGGTGGGTGGGTAGGTAGATGGATGGACAACAGATAAATTAGAAAGGGTAGAAGTGAGGCTTAGTGGTAGAGCTCTTGGGTGTCATGCTTGAGGCCCTGGGTTTCACCCTCAGTACTTGAGAGAAAAAATTTATTGGTAGCCAAGAGTTTTATGAGAAGAAACAAACTTACTTTTCTGAAACTTAAAAAATAGCATAGGTTTGGCATTAGCTAGTCATGGTAGCGCATGCCTATAATCCCAGCACTCAGGAGGCTGAGACAGGAGGATCATGGGCGTTTGAGGCCATCCTGGGCTGCAAAGAAAATTCAAGGCAGCCTGAACTGCATAGTGAAACCCTGTCTCAAAAGGACAAAAAAAAAAAAAAAAAAAAAAAAAAGGTTTGGCATTTAAGTTTTGTAAATAAAGTGACCAAACATTTTATTTTTTCTTGATGGTGTTTTTATTTTTTACAGCTTCATACATAACAATATAGCTTTGTTAAATATTACCTTTTTTTTTTTTACTTAAATACTACCTTTTAATCATCTCCAATTTAGTTTAAATGGACGGTGTTTAAAAAAATTATTTTTTAAAGCCATTTCCTGCTAAGTGACCAGCATACAATATTTCAATCACAGGCTTCTACTTATTTCTAGGTTTGTATGTACTTTTCACTCATGTTTTATATCATTAAATGGAATGGTAAATGAACATTTAGTTTTTAGTAAATAGCTTTAAAAAACAATTTCTGCCTCAAGATTTAAATGTTGCTGTCTTTGCCTCAGAATGTTACTTATGATTACTGTATTTGTAATGCAGTTGAGACTTGAAATGGTCATCAAAATTCCTATTTTAGGCAAGCATTATACCGGCGGAGCTATGTCCTCACCCTAGAAAATTGCAGTTTTAGAATGTTTTTAGGGACTGGGGATGTAGCTCAGTGGTAGAGCACTGTGTGTGCGTTCTGTCCCCAGCACTATATGCTCAAATAAGTAAAGTAAGTAAGTAAATGAGTAAAAGTTACTTAGTAATTTTGCCTTAAGTTTTGTTGAAGTTACACGGAATTGTTGTTAGTAAATTAATTGTTCTTAGGAAGTAGTTTCTGCAATTAACTGTCAGAGGTTTTTAACACTTGTATGACCTTTTGTATTATAGATAACCTAAGTAGTGTATTGCCTCAGAAATTGGCACCCTTGCATTCAGGTTTTAGATAGAACCATTGCTCAGCTGAAGGAAAGCGGATTTTTGTCGGAATTCAGTGACTTGCTTGTGCTAAGTGAAGATTTTTATTACATATCTGTAATATCTGGTTGGAAGGATACTTTAGTAAAACTGAAAGAATGAATTTTAATATTTGGATAGTGAAAATTGTGTGTGATTTTTATTTTAACACTTGTGTAACCTAGGAGGAAGAATAATTGATGCCACTTGTTATTTTGGACTTTTCTTGAAGTCTTGGTATGTGTCTTTGGTGAAATAGAAACATTAAGAAGTAATCCGTGGTAGAGTTTATGTAATCTGATTCATGGGTAATCTTACAATATAAACTGGTGTTCTAAACATTCATAGTGTATTAAATTTGAGACACTGAAATTCTTTTCTGTTGAGTAATTGATGGAAAATTTCGAATATTTTTAATAGAAAGTGATGTTCCAATTCACTCTTGTCTTTTTCATTTTAGATGGGAAATGTAAAGTCATATCGATAGGTTGACTGTGACAACTATGTTTATTTACAGAGAGAACAGGAAATGAGAATGGGTGATATGGGTCCCCGTGGAGCAATAAACATGGGAGGTAGGGATTTGAAGCAAAAGCCTTCTGTAACTTACTTGTAATTCTTTGGGATACTGTAAATGCTCTTTGTGGTATTTACATATCATTAAGAGACTTAAAATACAGAACCAATACTTGTGAAGGTGAAATCTTCTGTTTCTTAAAGTGAAATATAATTGTATTAATAATATATGCCAAGGAAGAAAGTTTGAAAGGTATGTGTTCTAGTTTTATAGCTTCAATGAAAGAAACCTATGAGTTTCTAGTACAGCCTAAAAGTAGTTTAGTTATTATATGATGTAATACAATTCTGTCATATTTTTATAGTCAAATTTTGTTCCTTCAAATTGTCTTTTTTACTAATTCTTGAGAACATTTTACAAATTTGTTTTAAAGTAGCTTTTTGCTCATGTTACTTAATATTTAACTTTAATTTGAATATTGCGCATGGAAATGGATTGCCTAGAGAGAGGTCTATGACTTCAGGAAGTGAAATGTGTCATGGTAATGCATATCTTTAGAGTTCATATAAAAATTTTAAGAAAATGCCTATGTTAACAACTTTCACGCCACTTGGCTCTTATATCCGTACTACAGGGAAGCAGAATCAATAAGTAAATAAGTGGAGCATCGTATACATGTGTCTTCAATTTGAAGTTTGAAATGCCGTACATTTAAAGATTAGATAATGGATTAAACTTTCACATTACATGGCTCTACAGCAGCTGTCGCAAAGTTAAAATTTTTATATAACCCAATGTACACAGTATTTTGAAAACATTCCTAGGGCATCTAGTGTACATGGCATGCACACCCATCTAGTGACTTCTTCAACTACATAATATATGAAATAAAATTTAAGAGAGTGAACATTTTCTACATCAGTTCTTCTTTCTTAAATCTCTATATCAGTTTTTTGACACTTCTTAATCACATAGTTTATTTCTGTATCTACCAACAAGTAGTCACTAAATAACTTTGTATGTAAAGGAAGCCTGAAACATTTTCCTTGTCTATAGTGAACTTAATCATTCACATGGATATAAAATAATTAATGAAACAAGACTACAAATTCTAAAATATGAAGCATAGTTGAGTATATAATAATGTAGCAGTGGTTCTGCATTTATTTTTTCAGAGTAAATTATGTTTTCCTATATAAAATCCATGTAATTTTTATATAAGAATGGGATTATTGAGAATTGTAAGTAGTATGAAAGGACCATTACCTCATTAGGTTGTCATTAACATCAGAACCAAACTTTATAATAGTATAATGCTTAAAACTGTTTTATCATGGTCCAGAGAGATTGTGAAAACATTCTCTTTTTTTTTTTCCCCCCAGTACCGGGAACTGAACTCATGACCTTGAGCTTGCCAGGCAGGCACTGTGCCACTGAGCTAAATCCCCAGCCCCAATGAAAACATTCTCGATTGGGTTAGCAACTTTTTACGTCTTTAGGGGCCGGGGATATATCTCAGAGGCATAGCACCTGCCTGGCAAGCACAAGGCCCTGAGTTTGATTCCTGTTTTTTTTTAAAAAAATAGGCCTGTGCTTTTTAAAAATTTATTTTAAAGAAAAAAAAAAACAGTTTCAAAAGATAACAGGAGGGTAACAATGATTAATACATTGGGGATCGTTATCTTTAAATTAGTTGTAAGATACTGGCATTTAATTGTCCAGACAATATTAGCACAAACCTTTCTTTTTAGTGAACTAAGAGAAATCATTAGTCTATCTTTTATATATGTATAATATACATATTATATACATATATATATGTGTATATATTTTGGCTTTGCTTTTCTCTTTTCCCCATCCCAGTTTCTCCTTTTGAGTAGTTTCTTCCCATTTTACAATATATATTGTACATTTAAATGCTTTATTTATTTAGGAATTGAAGAGAATTTGAACATTTTGTGACTTTTCACTAGAAAACCACATTTATATTTTCAGCACTTTCCTGAAGTCCAGTCCATTTAACACTCTTTTCTGTAGTCTTTATTCAGTGTGAGCCTTTAATGGTTTTTGGAGCTAATCCAGTTGGGTTACTGTTGAGTAGGTAAAATTGATCTATCTCTTTAGGGTACGTGGTTGGAGCCAGGCTTGTAGCTTAGTTCTAAAGCACGTGGTTAGCACTTTGGATTTGATCCCCAGCAGAAAAATAAAAAGTAACAAATTCCATTAATAGAATTTGCCAATAGATTTTCTGATTTATCACTAGTATGTGTACCAAGTAAAACAGTTTATAAAGCCAGATCATGCCAATATTTCTTAGATCTTTAAACTTAGTTTATAGTTCGGTGGTTGAAGATGTCATTTAAAAATGGCTGATAGTTGGGAATATTAACAATCTTTTTTTAGTACACATAGTTGTGTAATTATAGTCCAGACTTACAAGTTAAGTGTAGCATGTCTATTGAAGAAGAATAAAAAGAAAAAAAAATACTATTAAATCTATTCTTTTTGGAGAAAGTAAAGGAAAGATGCCTGTTAGATACTGTCTTTTCTAGATTATGGGAACTGGTTAAAATGATAGTAACTGTCCCAGGGCAATGGAAACACTCCTGGATAAAGTATAGATTTATCATCAAGAACATTTTGGGATTAAGGAAGTAATTCCTTTGACAAATTGCTTGTTTTCTGGGCTTGACTTTGAAGCACAGTAGTGTGTGATGGTAAGGATTGTTTTGGAGTGAGCTCTTTTCAGCTACTCCTTGAGAGAGTACTCCTAGAAGAGAGTTCAGTGTCATTAACTGTTCTGTAGTGGATTTGAATGAAAACTTCAGCTTCTTTTATAATGTTTATTTACAAGGTTTAGTTCTGAGGGCCAGAAAATTGATGTACATAAAGAAACCTCTAAGGTGGAATCAATCTTAGTTCTGAATTTTTTAGGAACAAGTACAAACACTTAAAATTTTTTTAATACCTAAAAATATGTCTTTGCAACCATCCTATTTATGATAAATATTCCAATTGAACCACTGTGGCAGTTAAAATATAGGTGAATATCTGTTTTGATGAAAAATTTGATGTATATCTGATTATCCTCATTTCCAGAATTTTGTATATCAAAAACATCCACTAGCTATTTTATCCATATTTTTGTGTTTTTAAAAATAAGCTTTATCATGATGAGTCATTTTTATTTGAGGGAGAGTTTATATTGCATATTTTAATAGAATGTTTAAAAAATAGTACTTTGTAATTTGGGGATGTATTTAGTAACGTTCACTGCAGTGATCTTTCTAGGAAGTGCTTTTTCCTCTTACAACTTAATGTCATTTACCAGGTAGTATTTTTTAGTTATGACTAAGAAAACATTTTTGAAGTGCTAACCCTCCCTTGTTCATTGAAATTGGTAGTATAGTCAATATTGTTGGTTAACAAAATTTTTCCAATGTGGTTGTGCACACTTTTAATCCCAGCACTTAGGAGGCTGAGGCAGGCAGATCACCTAAAGTTGTAGGCCAGCCTTAATTATATAGTGAAACCCTATCTCAAAAAAAAGCACCAAAACAAAATTGCTATAAATAGGCTTTAGTAATTACTTCTGATCTTTAAAACTTTCAAATTGTTACATTCTCAGATGCAGTAAAATAATTGATAGTTGCTTCATTTCTTTTATGTATGTGTGTTTTGGGGATGAAAATTTTAGCATGTAGGTAATGCTTTAGTGGACAATGGATAATTGTCTTATTCTCAAGGAAGGAAAATGATTTGGGTTATAGTTAGGGGGTATGAGATTGTGTAAGTTTTGTAAAGTTTATAATGTTTACTAAACTAAGATAGGACAGCTCTAAGTATAGATTGTTTTACATAGATGCATTTAGCCCAGCACCTGCTGGTAACCAAGGTCCTCCTCCAATGATGGGTATGAATATGAACAACAGAGGAGCTATACCTGGCCCACCAATGGGTCCTGGTCCTGCCATGGGACCAGAAGGAGCTGCAAATATGGGAACTCCAATGATGCCAGATAATGGAGCAGTGGTAATGTATCATAAACATTTTGATTATATTCAATAATGTATCTTGTGCCCCAAAGATACCTTCACACTTAATGTATCTTGTTTTTTTGGTACCAGGAATCGAATTCAGGACCTTGCCCTTGCCAGGCAGGTGGTGTGCCACTGAGCTAAATCCCTGGCCTGTTTCACATTAATGTAATTTGACATTTGTTTTGGCAATAAACACCCAATGAAAGAAAAGTAACTTTGTGAAGTTAGATTTAGGAGAGACAATCTTTTAGTAGTCCAAGAGGAAGGACTGCTATGCATGGCATGCTCTTAGATCTCAGCACATAGCATGTACGTATGTTTTTACAGATCTTTTTCAGTGATTTTAATTTGTAGCCATCATTTATCAGTATTCAGTGTAATGGTTAAGTATTTGATGTTTGTGTTCTTTCTCTGTATGGACTCCTTTGGTAGGGACAAAACTTCATTATGTGTGAAAATAGTTTTCAGTAGTCATTTTTGATAGAACAGTCACTTGTCATGACTTTAAAGTATATTTTCATTGTAAATTTTTTTTTGGTATATTCTAAATGTACATTGCTGTATTTTCACAGAATTACTTTTGATATTTGTTTCTAAATTTAGATTTTTTTTTTCCCCCTGGTACTGGGAATCGAACTCACGACCTCACGCTTGCCAAGCAGGTGCTGTGCTGCTGAGTTGAGTCCCCAGCCCCAGATAATTTTTTTTTTGCTGTGGTCTGAGAGTGTGAAGATATCTTTGGGTAAAATATAAGAGCAGGGTTTTTCAGTTGTATTTTTATTATATATTCAATATCAGTAAGATTGGTATCTTTTATTATTATCCTTAAATGAGGCTTTATAATGGCAGAATATTTTCTCATGTGGTGTTTCTCCATGATTTTTCTAAATAACATTTAGAAAGAAAACTGTTGGCTGTATATTTTGAAATGGCAGTTTGGTTTGGGGATACCATATCAAATGTTTGGGGATACCGTATCACATGCTGCTAAAGAAGAAAAGCACTGCCAGATTTAAAACTCAGATTGCTCTCAGTTGTAAATTGTGTTGCTGTAGAAGATTTTAAAAGTAAGACATAGTGGACTGGAGAGTAGCTCAATCGTAGATCCCCTTTCTAGCACGTGCAGGGTCACCAAAAACAAAAAACCGGACATCATGCATCTTAGAACTGAGGAATGCACTGTTCATCATTTTTAAATTTGTTTACTTGAGAGATGCTCTCTTTAAAATGTGCTCACAGTTGCAGTTTGAAACTTGGTAGTTTGTTCAGCAAGTTGAGCCAGTGCCAACATTTGCTGTCTACAGCTCCTATTTTTTATAGTAAAATGTCAAAAAGCTCAATGAAAATTACTTGGTTAAGTTTTTCTTTATCCTGTAACTTTCAGTAGAATAATAATGTTAACTATTTTTATACTTCTTTCCCTGAAATTGTAAACTTTATTTAAGTATCACCCTTGGGGCTTTTTTATGATTACATTTTACTATTGCACTTAAGGAGTTCTGTTAAACCCTTGAGATTAATATATGGGTCATTGTTGTAAAGTTTTCAAAATACTAGATGTTGATGTTTAATTCTGCTATTTGTAGTACACATTAATCAACTTTTAAAGTTTAACCATCTTCCTAATACTAGTTTTTCAGTAAAAACTTCTCAGAAGTTTTCATTTTGAAATCATAGCTCTTCGCTTATTAGACTTTTGCTTCATGTCTTGATTTTAGAATGTTTGGTTTATAAAACAGAATATGATGCTGCTCCCCAGTTTTATCTACTTTTTAATAAATTATTTATCTTTTACAGTAGTTTCATATAAACTTTTAAAAATGGATCAGGGTAGTAGTATAATACTAGGCTTGAGATGGCATTTGCTTTTATCATACAGTCAGTTCTTTTTTTCATGAAATTGAGGCATAACATTAGCAATTTGTAAATCTTCAGATGCTGCTTTTTTATTTTTAAACATAGAAACTAATTAAATTGCTCCTTTCTTCCTTCTATGTGTGATCCTGATTCTGCTGGACTTTCTGCTGAACTTCATGACATCACCACTTGGGATTTTGCCAATTTTTCTTGTCACTTATATTTGGCGTGTTCCAAATGGACTTCATGTTCGTTATGTGGTCTTCTAGCACAATGATAGATTTTCCCAAGGACCACCTTCCCAGATGGGATCTCCTATGGGGAGTAGAGCAGGTTCTGAGACCCCTCAGGCACCAATGACCGGTGTGGGTCCCGTGAGTGGTGGTCCTGGTGGCTTTGGTAGAGGCACTCAAGGGGGCAACTTCGAAGGTCCTAATAAGCGTCGTAGATACTAAACGTTCTTTTGTTCCTGGCTATTTTGAAAAACAAAATTCAGTGGTATGCCTTTACACTTTTACCTGTTACCTGGAAGAAATGGTTTTATTGTTAATGTGTGTAGACTGAAAACGTTTTCTTTTGTAAAACTTGAGGTTTTGTATTTTTCTTTATTCATAAGCTTTGTAGATTAGAATGGTAATGATGATACGCATCATTGTGAATGTTAAAATGTGTTTGTGACTTTAGCTAACTACAGTTATGCTATAGTACTGTGAAATTTATGTAGTTTCTTTCTCTCAATAAAGAAATCATTTTGAGTAATTTAAGATGTTACTAGTGGTATTCTCTTGCGGTTTTACTAAACTTTGCTGTAACAATAATTCCTTGGTTGCTTTAACTAATCCTCGCCATTTAAAAATCCAAAAATGATTTTTGCTTTTTTTGTGCAAGTAGCCCTGAAGATAGAAACTTAGTGAAAGCTAATGTCAATACAGATTAGTACATTTGGGGGTGGGAGTGCATGGGTTAATTTGTATAACCTACTGATGTTTTGTGAAGTTGGAGTTACTGCCTACATTTCATAAAGATTCTGAATATTCAGATATTCTGAAAAGGATCAATAAGGGTATCTTTGTCCTGTGTTGCTTTTTCTAAATAAATCTTTTGAATCTTGAAAAAACTGTTTGAAGGCAAATCTCTTTTGCTTATAAAATACCTAGTTTTTAATTTTATCTTCCAGCATTTATTTGGTTTCAGTATCTAGATCTCACCTTTATTATTATACACCTAGTGTTGAGTTTTTCAAGAAACAGGACTTTTGGGTTGGTAGTTACGGGAAGATTTGTTGGGTGGTTCATGGTTAATTAGGCACTTCTTGAGAATGTTGGTTTCTAATAGTATTAAATGATGGCTTGACTCAACAGTGTTAAATATTTCTCTGTAGTTGCAGTTCTGTCCAGTAAAATCTGTCTGATGGTTAGGAATGTGTATAGTTGAAGTGTTGCTTTTTTTAAACGGGAGAGAATCAACTTCACAATGGTAGGGTCATTTAAATCTGATTAGATTCCTGTTCTGTCCAGTACCTATTTTGAATTTCAATGCTTTGGAGAAACTGATTTCATCATGTTATAAGATTTACCATAAAAGTCATAGATACATTTGGAAGTTTGTATGCTTTTTATCTTTCTTTAAAATTACATTAAAAATTATAAAATCTAACATTTAATTTATGCTTCAAAGTTAATTCACCAGCCACTGATCATAGCATTTACTTCTTGCACATTTGCCATTTACCATCTTTCTGAGAAATACGGTGTGTTTAAGTAAACTGTATGTAAATAGTGCCTTTAATATTTCCATGGTGTTTGTTTTGCTGGAAAGCATATTTTTGAAAGAAATAGCTTTGGTTAATTAAAAATCAAAAGCAGTTTAAAAAGCATAATTAAGATTCATTCTTTCTACCAAGTTATTTTTCATATGTATTGTTTCATGCTATATTTTTTTAGGCACTACAGTGTATATGGACTTATATTTTGAATTTTGCAGTATTCACAAGCTTTTGTTTGGATAATTCTTTGAAAACATATGGACATTGTAAGATGGTAGTGAAGGACTATTTTCATTGCATTTTTCATGAGTATGAGGTGGTGGGGACTTGAATTTGTTTTATGAGATTAATTTGGGTGTGAAGAGTTTAAATTAATTGAAATTTCTAAGTGATATTTGTTGCATTTAAGTCTACCTTTTCCATCTGTTTTTTTATTCATCTAATACTCTGATAATGTTTAGCACTGTATTTCATTCAAGGCTGAATTCAGATTGGGGAGACATTTGATCCTTTGATGTTAATAACGAGCTACCTTTTGCCAAGGCTGTGAAATTCTGTATGATTCGTTCAAGGACATTTGAAAGCCAGTGCACAGAGATGTGTTAATCTCCTGAACATCCTAGTGTCCGGGCTCAACTCTGGCTCCAAGAACAGAGTTCTACACAGCTTTTCCCCGCATCAAGAAAATTCTTGTTCCAGTACTTTCCAAGTTTATTCCGGAAACAGTCAGCTTCTGAGTGACAGTCAAGTGGACCATCTGTGAACTTCTAGTTACTCAGTTGTTAAGGGTTTTGTATAAACATCTTGTGAATTAGTATGCCAATGAACATTTTTGTCATTTGGTTAAAAGTGATAGGTATAAAATGAAGAGGAAAATTCGGTAGTTTAGGTTTCTGAGTAAGTGTGAAGTTGTCATATATGCTATCATAAGTTTTTTTTAAAAAAGGTACTATGAAACAGTTTTAGTATTATCACAGTCTTCTGATTTCTTTTTGTGTCATTTAAAATTCCAAGTACTAAGTTTAAAGTCTGCAGGATTTAGGTTTATTATAATTTTTGTAGTTAATATGAATAAAAAATACATCCATTTTCCTAATTATTTTATTCTAGCATTGTAATTTGTTGGAATTTGTCATTTTTATTTTAAAAGTATTTGTATTGATTTTCTTTGACAGATGCAATGTCCTAGCTGGTCATTTAATTGAAATTGGAATTATCAACAAGGACAGTGACTGAAACTTTGGCTTTTGTTTCTCAAACACTAAATCATACCTTTACAGTTCACTCAGAAATATGTGTGTTGAATATTGTAGTAATTTCTGATGTACATGGAAAGCATGTAACAGTTGCTTAGTATCAGAGTGAGTGACTGGTAGTCACTTATTAATAAATCGTGAGTTAAATTACTGATTAAAGCATAGATTTTGAATGGGAAAGATTTAAATGGGATTGAAACGACATGAGAAGAAATGTGATATGGCAGAAGCCTAAGAAGGGTAGAAATGAGTGTCAAATGGTATTAAAAATAAAAGGGCCATGTCACTTTGGGCAAATACAGGGAGTTTACTCGGGAGTAGGATGTTTTAATAAAAAAAAAATTAGTGTGTTTAATAGTTTTGTTATAACATCTAATGTGTGAAAGTGTATTTTTCAACTTTCAGAGGCTAGCAGTGATTCCAAAGATGAGAGTTCTTTTAAGAATAATGAGTACTTGGGGCCGGTGATACAGCTCAGCAGCAAAGCACCTGCCTGGCAAGGGCAAGGTCGTGAGTTCAATTCCTGGTACCAAAAAAAAGAAAAAGAAAATAATGAATACTTTTGTATGTTAGAATAACAGGTGTTAATGTTTTCCAATATTTATTTCTATTAGTTATTTGTAGGTGTGGACTTATTAAGGAGTGGGAAACTTACTTCATGGAGGATTTCAGATTACTTGTAAATATTTCAACACACAGCTCTTAAAAAGAGCATTGAGGCCAGTTTTATACCAAAGAATATTAATTCCCACATGCTACATTAAAAAAGTGTGTCTTCAGTTATATAGCCAAGTATCATTTTATCATAAGCTAATGATATGATTGAATAATTATATGATTAAATAAATTAACAGTAGTCTAATACTTTACAAAAGCATTCTTTCATATCCAGCAGCGTGCATCACTAAGTTTTTAAAAATAAGACTTACTTCTTTTATTATGTTCACTTTACCCATTTTCCCAACTGTGTAGAACAAAGTATTGTATACACTTTCCCACATGAATTTTTCATCAAGTAATTTATAAACATTTTCTCTGGGGAAATAAGGAAGAATTGGAGAAATTTCTACATTTAATCTTTTAAAGTCTGAGTTTACATGTTAGTTTTCTGTATTCTGTTCACTTTTTAAAACTAGCAACAGCACCATCTTAGCCAGGCGCGGTGATGCATGCTTGTGATCCCAGTACTCAGGAGGATGAGGCAGGAGGATCACCTATAGTTCGAGGCCAGCCTGGATTACATTTTGAGACCCTGTTTCCAAAAACAAAAGCAAAAACTGGCACCATCTTCTGTGTTATAAAAACATTTTCAATTTTTTCCCCATAATTACTGAAAAATGACATTAATGATTAAAGATTTAAATTTTTAAGACACCATTTAGAGATAACTCTGTAGTGCTTTTATCTTAAGACTTTGCTTACTTTTTCTGTAAATCCCTGTTTACACTATGAATCTTTGTAGAAAATTATTTGATATTTTTGTTTATACAGTGAAAGCAATAGTGTGTATAGTAATTTCTGTCTCATATGTTGTTTTCCTTTTGAACTCCAGAAGTCTGTTCCAGATCGAGGGTAGTGCACTTTTGAATGTGGTCACAGTTCATATTTATAAATTGAAAAATACTCAAGTATATTGTTTTATGACTTGAATACCCATTATTGCTACTACCTCCCTTCTCTGCAATACAAACTGTATTTTGTTGAATATAAATGAAATCTAAGAATTATTTTTTGGTTAAAAGACATGGGATTTAGAAGAGGTGGTATTCTGCTTATTACTGTCTGTAAAACTGTTGTTACAGTATAGTACTATAATGTCTCAAATTTCATAGGGGTTTCATCAGACCCAAAGTTAAGATACGATTAGTGGAACTGGGAAGAATAAAGTGGAAGTGTACTGAATTTGAAAGCATGGCTGTTTTCTTTTTTATTTTCCCATATTTTAAAATAAGTTCAGTCAGTTGTGTTTTTTAGTCATTGTCAGGCCGTCCTGCCTTGTATCAGTAGTAATGAGGGAACCACACCGACATACAGATGTCTACGGGTTGTTTGTTTCGTTTTCTTTGCAGTATGGGGATTGAACAAAGGATTCCACACATCCTGGAGAAGTGCTTCAGTTCTGAACACATCTCTACCCTTCCATGCTGTTATTTTGGGGTTTTTTGTTTTGTTTTGTTTTTTAATTTCTGGACAGAGTTTGTTGTCCATCCTGTCTAGGGTGGACTAGAACTTCCAGTCTTTTCCTCCTGCAGTCTCCTTGGGTAACTGAGATTACAGGTGTGGGCCACTATCCCTGACATTTTATTTCTTTTAAGTAAGTGGCTCACTGGTGGTATTGAATACTTTGAAGTTGTTATTTACATTTAAACTTTTCTAGCTCTTTAATTACCTTAACATATTCACATTTTATTAACGTATATGTATCATACATCTCATGTAAGGTATATGATCTAGCGTCAGAAATGTAAGTAGCTACGTTCATTCGTTATGGTTTTTCTATCACTGGATCTCTGAGATACACTCTTACTTGTTCTAGCTTCTTTTATGAAAAATATGAGGTGGTGCATATCATAATGCCAGCACCTAATAGGAGGCAGGAGGACTGCTGCAAGTTTGAGGCCAGCCTGCACTACTATACTTGGTGACACCTGTCTCCAAAAAAAGGGGAGACATTGCATGTTTGCCAACCAGTCAGGCTTTGAATAAGATTGTATTTACATTTTTGAGTTTTATTTCCAATAACATAACCATAATCTTACACATAGTAACCTGGCCACCATAGGACTGTGAATTATAGACACGTGTCTTTATGTGGTTATTTAAATGATTTTGCATGTCATTTATACTACCTCATGGTGGAAAAACAGAAACATTTTAAGTATTTTTTGCCACAATAATTAGTTTTCCTCCAAAGTATTCTTACATTTGATAGTGTAAATCAGTATCAAATTTCAGACATTCCTAAATTTAAATCTGTTGCGTAGCGTTTTGTGTAATAAAACACGTAATCTTCAGTAATTTTGGGGAGGCTGTTGTATAGATAATAGCAGTAATTTGCCTGGTATTGTTTTGAGACCAGGTCTTGCCAGAGTCCAG